GGGGCCCAGGGAGGCGCTGGAGCCTGGCCAGCCCCCGCTGGGCACAAAGCCAGGGCCGCCCTGTCGCAGGGGGCTGTGCCTATCAGTCCTGCCTCACCCTGCCCTGCCTGCCCACCCCAGCCCCCCTGCAGAGCTGCCCACTGCCCTGCTCAGCCCATTCTTCCCAAGGAGCAAAGCCCCTCACAGCCATGCTTGTCCTTTCTTCCCAGAGATCAACCCCTTCCCCCTTGCTGGACACCCCCAACCCCTTGAAAGCCAGCGTGGATGAATCCTGGCCCCACTCCACCTCTTCCATCCTCTCCCTGCTCCTGTCCCTGCCACTACCCAGCTGTGCCGCGGCAGCAGGCGGGGAGTCCCTCGCCCGGCCCATCATCTCCAGCTCTCCAGCACCAGCCAGACGCACACCCAGCACCCCAGCACACCTTGCCTTGGCCCTGTGGTGGGAACCCGGGGCTGTGGAAGAGGGACCCTCTTTTCCTCCTCTGGGGAAGGCAATGCCCCTCGCAGCCATACATTCCCGCTTCCCCTCCAGCACAGGCAGCGTCGTTGCCCGGCCCCAGTAAACACACAACCCCGCGGGAGCTGGGGCAGGATCGGGAATTGAAAACCTGTACGGCCTCAGCAGAGACTCAGAGTCACCATTCCTCCCAAGGCACAACCTGCAGTCCAGCATTAAAAAACCACAACAGACACACGAGAAATTTCTAAGACATAGAAATAAAAACCCAGACCAGTAACTCTTAAAAATGGGAACTCTTCGTATCAAAGATGTTCCTTTTTTTTTCCATTAACTGCCTTGTTTTAGCTATTTCCAGACAGGAATAGATCAATTCTTTATAAAATGTGATAGAAAGGGGTAAAAATAAAGGCAAAAGCTATTTACAGAAACCAGCGGGGAGAGTACCGAAACGCCTCCAGGCTTCTCACTTCTTCTTGGGTGATTTTCGGGCGCTGGGCTTGGCTTTCGACCGCTTTGCCTTCTTGGGCTTGGACCCCTTCAGCGACTTGGCCCTAACAGTCTTTGGCTTCTTGGCTTTCTTTGGGCTGGCCCTCGACTTCTTCTTGGCTTTCCCGGCGGTGGATTTGGGCTTCTTTGCCGGCGACTTGGGTTTCCTGGGCCTAGCCGCTTTCCGGGGTGACATGGATTTCCTGGCCACCTTCTTCTTCTTCCTGGCCGGGGACTTCTTCGCCTTGTCGGCCTTGGCCAGACGGAAGGAGCCGGAGGCGCCGACCCCTTTGGTCTGCTTGAGGATGCCGGCGGCGAGCATGCGCCGGAGAGCCAGCTTGATCTGGACGTCGGCGTGCTGGCCCACCTTGTAGTGGCTCTTCACGTACTTCTGGATGGAC